TTTTTCATTGTTTTTTTTTTTTCAAAACGATAGATGTTTTTCATTGTTAAGATCATCTACCTTTGTTATCAATTTCATAATTCTCGTCATTGATCAGCGTATGCTCGATTAGTTCATACAATTCATTGTCCTTATAGTTTCTCATCAGGTTCTTGTGGTTGTTGATCTCGCCCAGCCACAATCCTCCGCCCCATTTCTTAGGGGATTTCCATTGAGAAAAACTCTGGGTATTCAAGATGTTGAAACCTCCATCACGTGGTTCTGGTGCAACGTCCTAGAGAGGACAACCCGGGTCAAGAAAAACCATTTAAGTCAGCCTAGACCAAAAGTCGTGCCCAAGATTGGCAAAAAAGGCCAGATTTGTGATAATATTAACAGATATGTGCAGTGATGCTCCCTGGGACGCTTCAACCAAATATCTTCTCAGGAGCCATCAGTAGAAAAGGCAAAAGTACTGATCCAACGTTCGCAGATCTGTGCCAAAATACCCCCAGGACGCGAATACGCACGCCCGCCAACGAAGCCCAATGACCTTTTTGTCCACATGCGAGTATGCAAGTTCGCCAATGAAGCCCAACAACCTCGTTCGCTCGCACGTGAGTACCGCCGTGCCAGTCTGTGATTGAGAGAATTGTTCACACAATGCTCTGCATATTTGTCGTATATATGTTGCATATTTTATCGTATAATTTTACGCACTCACTTAATTAAATTCGCCTCTTTGTAGCATAGTAGTTTATCACATAGTGAGATCGCAATTGCTTGATTATCTTCGTCTATCTGTTGCATAGTTTATCGTATAATTATTCTTCACATTATCAATTAACTTATCCTACTTGTTGTGTAGTTTACGCATAAAGACATCGCACTAGCTAGATTATCTTCACTTGTCTGTCGTATAACTATTTTGCACTTTATCATTTAACTCCGCATGTCCGTTACGTAAGTTATTGCATAATGATATCTCACTAGCTCGATTATTTTTCTTACTATGTCACTTAATTTATCACATAATGAGATCTTACTTGCTTGATTATCTTCACATGCCTGTTGTATGGTTGATCACATAAGTAATTTGCACTTTTTCAATTAACATTATCTGTCTGCTGCACACTTTATCATGTAATTTGTTTCGCATAATTGATCACATAAGAAATTCGCACTTGCTTAATTAACTTCGCTTATATGGTGCATACTTTATCATATATTTGTTCCGTACTTAGTCGATGAAATTTGCATGTGTGTCCATTTTGCACTTAATAATTATTTTCGTTTGTCTATTGCATAGTTTATCGCTTAACTATTTCGCAATTTATTAATTATCTCCATCTGTATGTCGCATAGTTTCTTTCATAATTGTTTCACACTTTATCAAATATTGTCTTATATTTCTCGCATAGTTTGTCGCGTAACTATTTTGCATTTTATCAATTATCTTCGTCTGTCTGTCGCATAGCTTTTCGCATAATATTTTTGCACTTCATCAATTATCTTCGCTTGTCTGTCACATCACTTTTCGCATCAATTATCTTCACATGTTTGTCGCATAATTATTTTGCACTTTATAAATTATGTTCCCCTGTTAGTCGCAAAGTTTATCGCATGTCTGTCACATAGCTCTTTCATATAAATATTTCACACTTTATCAATTATAATGTTTGTCACATAGCTTTTCACAACAATTATCTTTGCATGTCTGTCGCATAGTTTATCACATAATTGTTTCGCATTTTATCAATTATATTCGCCTATTTGTCTCATAGTTTATCGAATAAATATTTCGCACTATATCAATTACCTTTGTCTGTGTATCGCATATTTTTTCGCATATATATTTCACACTTTATCACTTACCTTCACCTATCTGTTAAATAGCTTTTTACATAATATTTTCGCACTTTATCAATTATTTTTGTGTTTCTATCGCATAGCTTTTCGCATCAATTATTTTTGTTTGTGTGTTGCATTAGAGGTGGGCGCGGTCCGGGATTTGGCTTTTCCTGGTACCTGTCCCTCTTTTATGAACCAGTCCGAGAACGGTCCGGGACGAGACACCGTTCCAAACGGACTGGTATCATTCGGGAACGGGACAAAATGATTCGGGACCGGGACAAAACGGGACAAACATATAAACTAAATCAAAGAGTATTGATTCATTAAAATTTAAACAAACAACCAACATGTTGACTCCATAATTTTGATTAAAACAAACTCACCGATTCAAGTATTCACTTAAATCAAATTACCAAAAAATATTGATTCCATTATAACAAACATACCGATCCATTAAGTTTAAGTCACAACTCACCAACATCTAAGATATAACATAAACATTGTCTTTAAAATCAAATTATCAAATGCATTGTATAGTTTATTTATTTATTTATTTATTTGTCCATATTGTTTAATTTTGGCTGGGACAATTGAGCTTTTGCTTTTTATATTGCAAAGTTAGAATGCTATTGAAGCTTAAATGCCAAAATGACCTATTGTTAATTATATAAGTGGTACAATATATAATACTAATAAAACTATGATAATAATGTATAATATATATATATATAATCATATATATTTATATATATAATATGTTGTACAGAAAAAATAAAACGGGACAAACGGGACGGTTCGAGACAAAAATATTCAAAACTGATACCGACATTATCTAAAACGGTTCGGTACCGAGAACAGGACAAAAATAAAGAAAACCTTTCGGTACCATATTTTTCGGAACAGGACCATTTCGGTCCGGTTCGGTAAGGGAAAATTCAATTTTTTTGCCCACCCCTATGTTACATAGTTTATCACATACTTGTTTTACCCTTTATCATTTAGGTTCGTCTATTTTTCGTAGAGCTGTCAAACTGCCCTTCCCCGCAAAAGGGGCGGGTTGGGCTTGATTTTTCTAACAGGCCTAAACGAGCCAGCCCGCCCGCGCGAGCTGAGGGCTAGGGTAGGCGAGGCGAGACCTGCCTTTTTAAAAAAAATTATATTTTAAGTTGCAGGCTCTTTTTTCGGCAAAAATCCAATTTTGGAAGTTGTATATTGTCCATTTTTGGTACACCAATTTTCCCTTCATAAAAAATAATACATTATGTTGCAGTTTGTATCACTATTGGGACATTATCCCAAATATAGTTCGTTATTTTTTGAGATTAATGTTCTAAAAATGATACATATTGCAACATAACGTACTGTTTTTTATGAGCAATGTCCCAAAAATGATACAAATTGCAACATAACGTACTATTATTCATGAGTGGAAAATTGGTGTACCAAAAACGGACAATGACCAACTTAGAGGACCAAAAATTGGATTTTTGCCCTCTTTTTTCAAATGTTTACACTAGGTACATCATGTTTACAGTATTGTGAAAGGGGAACTTGTGATGGTTTAAAATTTGAATTGTTTTTTATTGTTTACACACTAGCATGTTTACAATTTGTGCCCGAGAACTTGTAATTTTTTTTAATAGCAGGTTTTAAGCAATAGGCGGCTAACACACAAGCACCAGCATGTTTTTTTAGTGGCAGCTGTTAAAAAAAAAATGACGGGCTTGGCCTGCTGAACCCGCGGTCCGAGGCGGAGGCGGGTTGGGCTTAGCCTTTCTCAGGCCCGACCCGTCCCATTAATAGGGGGCCTTTGGCTGGCTACGGGCCGGTCCACTCTGCTGGTCGGTTTTGACACCTCTAGTTTGCCGCATAATTTATTCTATAATTATCTCTTATTTTATGAGTTATCTACGAATGTATGTGTTGCATAGTTTTTTGCATTAATATTTCACACTTTCTCAATTATATTTGTATGTCTGTCGCATAATTTTTCGCATAAATATTTCATATTTTATCAATTTTCTTCGCATGTCTGTAGCATAATTTGTTTTGCACTTTATGGATTAAAAATTAACTGATTATTTATAGTGTGTGAAAAACTTATTCTG